CTCGACTTACGACCGGTTTAGTCCTCGACTTACGACCGGTTTAGTCCTCGACTTTCGACCGGTTGGGGTCGCGGCATTAAAACGGTTGAGAACCACTGCTCTAGATGTATGTCTGTTCCATCCTATCTTACTTTATGATGCCATCTTCTTGTACAGGACTTGCTGATGGTTGCAGAAAGAGATCCATCCCATTTGCATGTTCTGCCAAAAATAGGAAGATAGAAACATAAATAGGAACAGGCACTGCCCACTATTCTGAAAATTCACACTGAGAGGTTCTAAAAACCTGGAATGCTCCTGCCTCCTTGAACAAATCCTATACATCCCAAATAAGGTGCTGTAATAGATTTTGGATTGTTGCAGTTGACTGGTGCAAAAACCTGAAGTGCTAGCAACTGTTCATAACTATTCAGTGAAAAAAATGTTTCACCCCATCTAATGCCAGATATTTATGGTCACTGAGCAATCTGTTGATTAAAAGACTAGGGTTTGGAATCTCAGCCAGGATGTTGGTTTGTCCAAAAAATGAAAAGCAAAAATAATATCAAAAGCAGCCAATATTGGTTTAGCTTAAACCAAGAAATCACTTTTGCAGACATCACAGAATGTAACAAAATTTTGTACTGTAAAATAAGAATGTGTGAAAAGCAGTAGCCTTGTAGCACTTATAAAAGAACAATCATTTACATTTTTATCTATAGCTAATGTAATAACTACTTTCAGCATATCTGTAGGTCTTCTATATTTTCGTCTGGTTAAAATGGGTGTTTTCACTTCCTATGCAAACAGTTTGTCATTACAATTTTGATCCACCCTCTCAGTACAATGTAGCAATCAAGTGAAGCCACTATCAGTAATTTCATAATTTTACAATTTTATATATAGAACTAATATGCTTTTAAAATCATTTCAGAGTAAATATAAGGAAATAATATGCTTTAATAAATTTGAATGTTTGCACTGCTATAAGGTTCTATTTTTGCTGAAAGAAAGTTAGAAACTATCACACCTATCCATCTCTAATTACTTTTCTAAGTCTGTTCAGTTAACCAGAGTGTAAATGTATCTGAGAATGAATTTTGTAAGTCTTAGGAAGTCAAACTTTTAAAAATTGTGAATAGTTGATTAATAAATATTAATAGTAGATTGTTAGTCACAGTTTTAGAGTGTATCTTCCCAAGCATCTCTACAGAAATTGCTAGTTTGTATTTTTTTTAATGTCTCAGAAGAGAAATACACAGGCATAATCATTAAATGTATTTCATTAATTTAATTATTAGAATTAATTTCCTTATCCAATTCCAATGTTTTATTTGATCTGTTCCTTCCTCTATATACGAGGCTAATCCCTGGCTTGGAAAATGTTGTGTGTGCCTTCCTTACTGTGATGTCCAAATGACTGCTTATCTGCTCCTGAATAAGTTAGACCCATAAGGGGGAAAAATATGGTCTGCTTATCAAGATGTACACACTTCTATTTTGTTTTGTTTGTTCATCCCAGGAGAGAAGCTATTAAATCAGGTCAGTCAAAAATTCTGACTTCCTTGCCATCCATACTTAAATTGTGAATGTCACAACTTCACAGTTGAAATATTATAGTTTCAATGACATTAATGTTATGAAACTCTTTAGGAAAAATGATTTTCTAATTCTTTTCCTAGAAATATTAGTACCATATATACTCATGGATAAGATGAGAATTTTAGATCCCCAGATATACCCCCCCAACAAATAGGCTTGACTTATCCATAAATAGGTTTATCCATGAGTATACAGATAGTCCTCACTTACCAACCGCAGTATGATTGTAAAGTAAAATGTGAAATGACTATCCTGATTTACAATGTAAGTTATGATGTAACTTCCTGCTCGCTTCCCCACTGAATATGTGTGTTGGAAGCCAGCAGTGAAGCTCACAAAGAGCAAATGGCTGTAACTTTGAGGACTGATCATAACTCTCCTTTTGCAGCAATGTCATAACTTAGAATGGTCACTGAACAGGCACTCAGTAACAAGGACTACTCATGGACCTTTATATGGTAATAGTTTTTAAAAGTGCCCATGAATATTTGCAGATAAATGCATCTGCGGATAAACCAACCCTCAAAGTTTTAACTAAAATAGCATGAAAAATGCACCACCACTGATAAGCCAATTGTGAAAATTAAATCATGAAAATTTTGAGAGTTAGCTTATCCACAGATGGCACATTTTTCATTGTATTTTGGTTAAAATTTCAAGGGTTAGATAAGCCTACCTATGAATATATATGGAATATTTTATATTTGTGCTTTTTCTGTTCTTTGACAGTGAAGAATAAATTGCCTTTGACCAAGAACTTCAATAGTAGGAATGAAACAACAAAGAATGTTTTCTGTGCTATATGTTCCTAATCAGGAAGACCTAAAAGTTCTCTTAACTCTTGAAATGAAAAAAATAATAATTCTGGAATGGACATGCATGCATACAAATACATATGGAAGGAATGGAGGAAGGGAATAGCAATAGTAGTATAATTTGCAGATGTGAATGAAATAAGCCTCATGGATAACCACTCGTCATAAGTGTTAGTGTACGTCAGAGGTAGGTAATCTTGGTAACTTTCAGACTTAAGTTTCATCATGGATCAGCTTCATCTAGGTGCCAAGATGGAGGATTGTGGGAACTATCCCAAATAGGCATGTTCTAGGGCAGATATGTCAAACTCACAACGTCACGTGATGTCGTGCAACGTATCAGGACAATTTTGCCATTGCTGGCAATGGGGTGGGCGTAGCTTTCGCGTGACGCGTCCGGCCCACGGGCCGGCAGTTTGACACCCCTGTTCTAGGGGTTTTCTGAACTAGGCGTATATAAAGTGATATTTCAGCAACCATTGTTTCGATAACATCCTACTGGAGCAGTATCAGTTTGTGTAGTGTCTTCTTGTTTTCTAGTTTCATGATTTGCAACTCTGTTTGTTACTATAGGAATTCTTGAGTAATGGCCTATTTTCATACTTTGTGGATTTTTAAAATCAGCCTACTAAAATGCTTTGTAACTTCCTCTCCCGCCGTCCGCTGCAGAATACGGAAACCTTGTTGCTGAGGCCACTTCTGCAATTTGCAAGTGTTGGGTGGGGATTACAGCTTCTCTGCTACTTGCTAATGTTCTTGAGATAGAAGAAAATAAAAATGAACGGGAAAATATGCTCTGCACTGTATATCTTACAATGATTTGTTCCTCACTTACCTCTTTGTCTGCCTTATGCAGTGCTACAGTTGAAGCTCCAGCAGCGACGGACACGTGAAGAGCTGGTTAGTCAAGGGATCATGCCTCGTAAGTATAACTTAAAGTTTGTTATTCCTCTTTGAGACATTTCCACTCAGATGAGAGAATTTATTTTGAAATGTGTGGCCTTGTAAGATCTGTTTGTTCTCTGTGAAGAATTTGTGAGCTTTGGGCAAAAGCCATTTTTAATTTCTGATACTCAACACACTAGCCACTGCTTTCTGAACATTTGCACAATGCAAAAAGTAGTACTATACAAAAAGGACTTATGGAAAGATGTTGCCATCCTCAAAACATTTGAAATGTTGCATTCACGTTATCATTTCCTTAGCAGGTTTCCTGTTTAATACACTGCTGTCTTGCTTGAATTGTAAACATGGCTGCTCACTTGCTTAGTAGTATGCTGCTGATAGGTAAATTACAAAGTTAATTTTTCTGCATTTGCAACACAGTCACACCGAAGAACTACTGTACATCAGAGTCACTAGATAACAGAGGTTTTGCAAAGTGGCAGGCTACAGCAGTTAGTTCATCAGATAGAGGGAAAGAGAATGATGAAATGAATACATGCAGGATTGATTAATGTTCTTAAAATTACTTTCACATGCAAAAAACTGCTATAGAATGCTAAAGCAAGAATTTTAGGTATTAAATGCAGCAATGATGTTTGAGCAAGTAGTAAAGCAGAAATTTCTTCCTTTGTTTTGGTCTTTGGTGTGAAGCCTGCAGAAAGGATGTTAAAGGCTGTGGAGCAATCAGGTGCCCAACACATCCATACTTTGTTGCACTTTATAGTATGAGCTACATACTTTCATTTGCAGTTTAGAAAGAATTTCCTTCTTTCAGATTAAATTGCACACATTTTGTTTTGTAAGATCTAGCTATTGTGTAAATATGTTTTATTTGTTTATTGATTTGTTACAAAGGTGTATTTAAAAATAGCACTCGGATCTGTGAATATTAAAAAATAAAAAGGGAAATTCAGGTTTATTCACCCTTGTTAATTAAAAAGTTTTATTGCTTTTATTGTATCGTAAGCTACCCAGAGTTGCTTGGATAATGAGATGGGGGGCATATAAATTTAATATTAATAAATAAGTTTAGATTTATGATGCATTTATCTAGGTTTACTTTCTCTTCTGTATAGGGACACATATTTTTTAAAGAATGTACTTATGTATAAGAATTGTCAGATTTTAAAATACTGTTTTATGCTATAATTGTAAATTGTATTCATATATGCTTTCCACTTTATCAGAATTTGGAGGGATAAATTACATATTGATTGTGTGCAGGTGCCTTGTATCCTTTTTAATAATAGGCTTTCATAAGCCTCTGAGGAATCACATTATGGTTAAATTGCTTGAAGCAAAGTAGGCTCCAGCTGCTGCTTTTGAATGCCAGGTTGGTGTGCAAATAATTTACTCTTATCCACAATCTAATCTAATTGTGGATAAGGGTAACAGTCTGGCATGCATAACTAAGACCTGAGTGTGTCCTAGGAAGGAGGTTCCCCTGCTCGGAAATATGACCCCTTGGGTTTCAGGTTTGGCACTAACCAAGACCTTGGAGGGAGTGTGGTTATTGTCAATAATGCGTCATTGAGGGCTCTTAGAGGCTCTGTGGTCAACGGTATCAAAAGCCACTTAGAGTTCAAGATGCACAAGGGTGGATGTGCCACCTCCATTCCTATTCCAACACAGGTCAGCTACAAACATGAAACAAGAAACCCTGGCCCTAGATTTGACTTAAACAGGTTTAGATAATTCACTACTTCCATGTTCTTAACTATAACACTTAACCATGTTCTTTTCTATAACACTTCAACCTAAAAGGGGAAGTTTGACAACATAACAATAGTTATCTAAAATCATTGGATCTAAAGACTTCTTCTTTAGGAGAGGTGTACCACTGCTTCTTTCAAGGAGAGAAGTATTACCCCCCCTCCCTTTATACATATATATGAAAAATCTCTAAAAATGGTGTAAAATGTGAGTTTCTGTAAGTGCCATGGTGAGCAGACACCTTGCTAGCAAGATAGCTTTCTAAGTGGAATTGCCCCTGAATACTTGATCTGAAATAGTATAATCTCTCCAGAATGAAGGAGAAATTGTTGTGATCATCCATGAGATTATCCAAGTGGCTCTGAACAGCTGCTCCTCATGAGTAGACTGCAAAAATTATCATTTTTACTTTTACTTTATGACTGGAATGACTTGAGAGTTGGGATTTACATCAAGCTCAGACTCACAAAGCAGCCTTTATGGACACTAAACTTGATTGAGCCTTATATGTTAATTACTTTTGGGTTTTTTTTAATTATTTGCAAATTGGAGAGATTAAGACCCTAAGGGACTAGAGGGATTTGGAATTATAGTTTTGTATTATTTAGAAAATACTTTCTCATGGGAAAATGGATATTGTTTTCATTTTTTTTACGATAAGGAGACCTTGAAGGCTGGACGCTAGAGCCAGATGATAAAAGAAAATGGAGCAAAAATACTCAGTGCAAACTTTTGAATTCCTTTCAGCTAAGCCTTTGGGCAGAATGGATCAGATACTTGTTAAAATTGACAAAGCTTATTCTAATAAAGTTTAAAACAAGATTGAGCTGCAACGGATGTTTATGAAAGTAATTTGAAAGAGAATGTATATGTAATATAAATGAATCTGGTGGATGACTTATTCCCTAAAGGAGATGAATAGATATTAAATCAGGAAACTGATTTGGATCATTTTTTTCTTCTCGATATGTAAGATTTGAAAGGACTTTTTTAAAAGCTGACAAACAAAAGGATACATTTTACTTATGTATACAAGAGAAATCTAATGAAGTTTGAAAGGATTTTTTGCTTTGAAACATAGATGAGCAGCAAATTACCTCCGGGATTTTTTTTTTGAAGGTGTAAAAGAATACTTTTAAAAAATCAGGGAAGGTTTATAATATTGGCTTGCTCGATCAGAGTTAAAAGAAGAAAATAGTTATATCTGCTTGCCCTTATTGGACTTTTGTTGACAAAGATTGATTGGCCGAGTATTTGGACTTTGTTTTCCTTATTTGAGAAATGAGTTACAGGGAGAAGAGAGATTATATTTCATTTTAAGATGATGATAAGCTCTTAAAATTGTTTTTACCTTCTGGAATGAAGGGGAAAGTTACATCCTTTTTTTCTCTTTTCCTTTTTCCTTTCTTTTCCTTATTCGCACAACTCCCCCCTTTTTTGTATTTTTCTGTTTGTAGTTTGTATTGACTTGTGTTTTTTACATGTATAATCCTTAATAAAATTATTTGAAAAAAGGTGGAAAATGATTAATAAATGTATACATAATGGAGAAAAAGCAAAACATATATTCAAAGACCCTCCTTCAAAATCCCAGTGAAAGAGGCCTTGGAATTCTAAATATTAAATGTTATTGCAATAACGCGTTTCACTTGTTCAAGTTAGAATAACGAACCTCTTGGTTAATGATAGAATGTATAAGTAAACCTTTTATATTTCATCATATCTTTTATGATAAAGAAAATCAAATGGGACCAAAGTTGGGAAATCAAAGCACTTTAGTGTTTGAAAGATTCATATTTAAAAATTATATTCTTCTTATTTATATAACAAAGAAGCATACTTAAAAAATTAAACTTGAAAAAGTTAAATCATCCTTCTAGATTAGAATAACCAAACATGGGTGTTACTACAGTTCATAACTTCCTACTTATAACTAAAAAAACATGCTTTTAAAAAGCCTTTCAGCTTTATAACTGACATGGTAAAGTTGTTTGACATTTCTCGGCCGTTTATTATGTCCTTTTTACACAGCCAAGAAAAATGGATGGAAACTGATAATACATATTCACTGATTCTTTTCAGATTCTGTCTTCATTTGTGAAAATGTTATGGGAGAAATAGAAACTTGTTGATTTTTGGCATTTTCAAAAGTCAAGTATGAAATTTTCTTTGTCACAGTGCCAGCCCTGGAAAGAACTATAAACCAGAGTGTTTTTCCAAAGAAATTCTCATGAGGATATGAAAGCATTTCCCTCTGGAGTGTGTAGTTTGCTAGTTAGCTATCATTTCTTCTGGATGCTTTGGAAAAATGAACAGGCTGCATTGCTGAGATCCATTTGTATATAAAATATGGGACCACAGCCCCATGACTACATATGGCCTTTGAATCTCCTTTTTTTCTGTAACCTCTGGAATCATGTTGCCAAATTACAGTGGTGTTGTTATTAAAAATTGGAAGTGTTGGGATGAGAATCATGGCAAAACTATCATAGAAGTTTTTTTTCTATCCCACCCCCACCAAAAAAAAATCCCAAACCAGGAAAAAATTGGGAAATCCTGACTGTTTTATGATATGATTCTGTGCCTATTGCATCATTCTTCAGCTTGCCTTGGCCATCACTCACCCCACAAATTTTGAATATAATCTCAGGATAACAAAAAGTTTCCAAGTAGGTAGGAAATGTATTGTGTAGTGGAGTCAAATTGGCTATGCTCATGTACTTCAGAAACTACACATCTTTCTTCCTTCAGTAGCAAGGAAGCCATGTCCAGGGTCAATATCCATCCAATATCCATCATTTCTCACCTCTTACTTCAGAATGTGTCTGTCTATTTAGTTACTAAATAGATTTATATGGCATACAGTGACTCCAAGCAGTATGCAGCATTACAAATCAACTACAGGTAGTCTTTGTTTAGTGACCAGAGATACTACGACACTGAAAAAAGTGACGCTTATGACAGTTGCAGTCATAAGTCATAGTCACATGATCAAAATTGGGATGCTTGGCAATTAGTATGTATTTATGATGGTTGCAGTGTCCCAAGGTCATGTGACCACCTTTTGCAACTTCCGACAAGCAAAGTCAATGGGGAAGCCAGATTTACTGAACAACTGTGTTACTAACAACTGCAGTGATTTATTTAACAATTGTGGCAAGAAAAACCATAAAATGGGGCAAAATTCACTTAACAACTGTCTTGCTTAGTAATGGAAATTTGGGGCTCAATTGGGATTGTAAATCGAGGACTACCTGTATATAAATCTCAGAAGCCTCAGTAACAAACACAATCATATAAGCCATTTCTATTAGTCTTGGGAGATACTCCATACAAGAAGCAAACTCAAGTGAACCAACTATATTTTATTGTAAAGTTTTATTAACAGAATCATCCATGTCTGAAAAGTACATTTCTCCTCTGTCACCTTTACAGCACAAGAAACTAGTTTGTCACACGCATATTCCTTCTGTGGGCTAAGCTTCCTCTTATCTGACCATTGGCCTGGGTGCAGATCTTCATTCTGTCTCCCAAGATCATTCTCACACCCCATTACAATATATTTACAAGAAACTGGACAGCCATTTGTCCGAAATGGTATAGGGTTTCCTGCCTGAGCAGGAGGTTGGACTAGATGACCTCCAAGGTCCCTTCCAACTTTATCATTATTATTATTATTATTATTATTATTATTATTATTATTATTATTATTATTATTATTATTATTATTATTATTATTATTATTATTATAGTATCTTCTACATTGGAAGCGTTTTGGAAAGCATACTTGCAATAGAAGGTATTTTTGTGAGCTGAATTATAGCATCCAGTGAAGATTCTCTCCCCTGGAATATTCCCCTCTCCAAATACTTATCCTATTATTTTACTTCACTATGAACATTTCCCCCACTGGTTCCAATAGGAAACTTAATTTTATCCTAGCTGTTGGTTCATTCACAGTGCATCAGCTATGTTCATTACCAAGCCTTTCTAAACCAGAAATTGGTTTCACCTAAATAAAAGGACTAATTGATTAGTTTATATTATTATTTCAGAACATAATATGAGAATATATCTGTTCTAAACGGATTTCTATAGTTTTGTCTTCCTTTTTGCCTTTTACTCAGGCTAGATCAAGTCAGTCCCCCCCCCCAAATGGTTAATGAATAAGTGCATATCAACCTACTTAGTATACGTCAGATGTTTTTCCACTATGTATAATGAAACAATATGAGCTGCTCAGTTTACTGTTATAAAAATCACGCTTATTCAGCAAAATAAACAGCTGTATGGTGTATTCTTCTACGTTCTTTTCTCCTTGGAGTGGTAAAAGCAGAAAGCTGAATTTTATCCTGACTCTGATGATAATGTACTGAGAAAAATGGTTGCCAACCATTTTTTTTTCAACCAAAGTGAATGTCTGGCAGGGGATTCTTCCAAAACTTGCATACTGCTAGGTAGATGGGGCTCGGTGGCTTAAAACAGGAGTTATTTTGGCAATTGTCCACTGGGGAAAAATTATTCATTGTTGAACTTAATTCTTAATTTTTCTGTCTTTATCTTGCTAGTTAAACATGCATAAAGTGTATTCCTCAGACATTTATATTTTCTTTCTTTAAATGATTAAATCCAAATACATGGGATTATATTGTCATCAAATATTTTTGGAAGACTTTATATATCTTTATATATGATTATGTTGTGGTCAATTTCTCTGATAAACAAATATTTTCTTGCTAAACCACTTCACTAGCTCCTTCCCTTGGTGTGTTCTTTGCTAATCTGTCTACATTTAGGTATGGTATTTTAGTGATCAGATAGTAAACTTCATCATTCGCTTAGGTTGGCAAAGTACAACAATGTGGACTAAATCAGTGCAGGATACAGTTGAGCATATGTCAAATTAGCTGCCTTCGGTATCTTGTCCAAATGATTTTGATGATTGTTGAACCATAAAGGTTTATATATGTGGAAAATTAAGGCATGTAATTGAGTTATTCTCTTCCAACAGCTCTGAAAAGTCCAGCTGCATTTCATGAACAGAGAAGAAGTTTGGAACGGGCCAGGGTAAGACTTTGAATGCTTAGCAGCTATAGCTTTTTTCAGACTTGATCTCTGATTTTTCCAAATGGAGACCTCCATTCTCCTGGAGTATTTTATTTTATACATTATATATCATATGATGGAAATGGTAGCATTATTAATAGAATTAGAGCCTAGGATCCCTATAGCAGAGAGAGAGAGAACTTCCCCCTTCAGTAATCCTACAATTTATTTGATTGATCCCACTGTCTGCTTCTATGATGTTAACTGTCTGCTAATATAAATTTAAGTGGAACAACTTCTGGTTCCTGAGAAATAAACTGAATAAATACACCATATCTTAGGCTACAATCATAAAGACCTTCAATAAGTTTGATGAAGAGTTAATGCAGTGACTTTTGGCTTGGCTTGTTTTAAAACTAAAATGTGTGGGGAATTATAATTTCAATCAAAACCTTTACATTTGTTATACAGTGCTATGTATATAGTCTGGGAATAAGATTGATTTAAGTGTCCCTGTCAGTAGATGTGAAAATAGACAATTAATGCATCCTAAATATTTCAAACAGCACAGTGTTGGAAACTGTGTGCTTCATTTTCCTCAAGGTTTTCAATCTCTGATTAAATGCTGTGCACTCATGCAAAGTAAGCAAAGTTATATGGTGGACCTTTTGCTTCTTCCATTCTTTTAACAGCGTAGCTACTGAGATCTGAGGCAGTGTTATTTCTTCTACTTAAGAATCTCATGATAAATTTTAACAGGAAAATCTTGCATGTTCCATATTTAGTCTTGTGACTTCACTGAAGTTTAGAATGTATTTTTCTGTGTTTTACAGACAGAGGATTACTTGAAACGGAAGATCCGGTCCCGACCAGAGAGGTCTGAGTTGGTGAGGATGCACATTCTAGAAGGTACAGTCTCTGGTGTATGGTTGTTTAGTAAGTTTTTGAAAAGATACAAACTAGACATTCATTGTTCTCATGTATCACTTCTATTTATTTAGAAATGGATAGGCTAATAAAGTTAGGGCCTATTCAGTGATGGCGAACCTTTTAGAGACCGAGTGCCCAAACTGCAAGCCAAAACCCACTTATGCATTGTCGAGTGCCGGGTGGGTGTGGCCCATTGGGTGGGTGTGGCTGCGGTGGTAACAGCAGACTGGGTGGGACTAAAAAGTTCAATCAATTCCAACTTTGCAAGATTTTTTTTTACCCACGAGAAGTTGAAATTGACTGATTGAACCTTTTTTTTTTTTTTTTTTTGCACATGGCGGTGGCGGCCTAAAGTGAAAAGGTTTTATAAAACCCAGCTGAAGGCCTAGGACTGGGGCGACGGCGCGCGTGCCCACAGAGAGGGCTCTGAGTGCCGCCTCTGGCACCCGTGCCATAGGTTCGCCACCACTGGCCTAAGTACTTCTTGCCTAAGTAGCTCTTGCAATATCAATTATTTTGTGCTAGTCTTACAACTTGAGGAATAAGATTTTTAAAGTAGTTTTCTAAATATATTGCTGTTGGTCCTGGAAAACTGGCTGACTGTGAAGAATGTAATAATTGTTAAAGAATAAAAACATTACTTCTATTTTTATAGTAGAAAAAAAATCGCTGTTATTGCAATATATGTAATATACCTCCAGATGTAATATGCTACCAGATTCTGCCTGCGGTGATGATAATTATATGCATATTGCTGAAGAATATGAAGGGGAAGATGCTGGGCTTATATGCCATTGGTGGGCTTTCCATCAACATCTGGTTGATCATTGTGAGAACAGAAAACTAGGCTAAACCTCTGGCATAACTCTTTTCTGTTTTTATTAATCTCTAAATAGTTTCTTACCTGTCAGTTTGAATTAGCAATTTATTCTGTATTAAAGAGTTTTTACAACTTTTTGCAAAATTTTAAAGCATCTTGTTTTACAACATTAGCAAATCTGAAAATTGTCCAGAAAGTCTTTGTCAGATGCAAGCAACAAGAACCGCTTGTGAATAGATACATGATTGTTAGTCATCTACGTTACAAGAACCTTACAATGAGAATAGTCAGATAAGGCTTCAGGAATTCTGGGGAAGGGCAGGCCTATGCCACTTTCTGCAGTGCAAAGACTCTAAGGTGGTCCCACTCTTAACACCTAATTGGAGTGTTCCACACAATCTATCACTTTACATTCGACTTCAAAATAAAAAGCATCTTTTTCTTCAAAAGAAGAAGTGTCTCAAATTTTTCATAAAAAGGAAGTTGAAAAGGAAAGTTAGTAATATAGGCTCAGCTAAAATATAAGCAGATCAGGAAATGTACTGATAAATACAAGAGGTCATCTGCATGATTAACAGTGTCAAGGAAGCTATTAGAAAAATGGCTTCCTCTAAAATTTGGACTATGGCCAAATGAGAACAAAACACACTGTTTTCCATAAGAGGTGCCCAAGAGATGCAAAAAATTTCAAAATACTCATTGCTAATAATAGTATGCTAACAAGAGATGGAATTGGTATGGAAGTTGGATTGTTATTGCTGATGAAAAGAGATTTAAAGGAATGCTGGAAAGAAGGAGAATGAGAAACTAAATCACTTTGTACATCAATGAATACATACAAAATTATTTGATGTAGCAAAAAAAATATATCATATATCCATAAGATTTTTTTTTTTTTGGAACAGAGTATTAAAATGACCAATGTAAGAGTTTTTAATAGATCCAAGAAGTAGCTCAATGATCAAGCATTTAAAAAAGAACAGAAGTTTAAGACAAGTCCAGGGGGAAGGCCCTTTTTAAAAATTGTTTTCATTCATTAGGAAGTCGTGGAAATAGAGAGTACTGCTCTCCAGTGCTGCAGGGAATATGCTCTGTTTCTCTTCTGAAAGATGACAAAAAATATGCAAACGTAATCTAAATGTTTGCTGGAGGGGAAGGTGAAAGAGTTAAAGACAAAATCCAGTTCTCAGCTGATCAATGAAGATGGGGAATTTTTGAATTGGATACAAGGAGTGCTTGCAGAGAGAGATAAACACTAGAAAGCATCCCAGATTAAAACATGCCAAACTGTGGAAAGTTACAGGAATCTGAAACACAAGCCCAAGTCTGTCAAGTGAGCTCTTATATTTTAAAGCTTCAGAACAATTTCCATAATCTCATCATTGATGATCTTTATGAACCCTTGGATGAAAAGCACCTGCCAAGCCTCAGCGCAGCAAAGGCGACTATACAAACTTTGCAATGGGAGTAATGTCTGCCTATACATGAAGTAATGAACAGTGGTGATCAGGTACTCCCTCTACTGAGAGGGATTGAAGCAGCAATCTTGGCTGGACCATTTAGCTGTGTTGCTTTCCTGGGGCATGAATTTGGAACAAGGCTAAAAGATATCCAAAGTTCTTTAATCCTGCTCTGTCTACTAGTGTTCATGAGAACAAATGGCACCGAAAATGCAACTGTGGAGAGAGTTGCAAGGCGGAATACTGGACAGGAGAGTGAAAGAGCAGGAGGGTCACAGATAGTGGTTTCTTCATACCTTTCTGTTGAAGGATGTGATCCAGGAAAAAAGAAAATGCTGGAAGTGATAATTGAGCAGTGGTGCCAATGGGATTCTTTGAAAAATGGAAGATTACTAAGATGGTTCCCCAAATATAACGGGAAAGTGTCTTGTAAGTTTGATTTAGTAGGCTCTCCAATGAATTCTATGTGGAAGAGAGAAAGATCTGGGAAACAATATTATGTGAAGTACTGGGAACCAGACTGAAAGGGGGGTATTCAGGATGTGAAGGCAACAATTGAGAATGTAAATACAGGAAAGAATAAGTCAAGATATTTGAATAAAGGTTTCCATAGTTTCTTTACAAAAAATTAAAAGAAGTAATTCTTCTGAATTCCTAATTCAGGAAGGCAAATATGATTTATTAGGACTTATTGAAACCTAATAGGACAAAACATATGAGTGGAATGCCAGAATTGAAAAGTATCACTTACTCAAAAGGAATAGGCCTGGCAAAAGGGGAAAAGAAGGTAATTATATGTAAAGGAAGTCTACACAAAAGGAATTTGACCAAGAACATTTGAGTAAGTCAATAGCATTCTACAATTAGTGATAGTTCCAATTTTAATAGTATTAAATGGAGATTAATTAAATTAAAATAAGATTATCAGTGGATGAGGAGGAGAAGAAAGAGGAAGTATGGATAATTTATGTGGCAATACCAGGGGATAATAGAATAAAAGACAAAGAATTGGAGATCACAAAGCATCAAGATCTGAAAATCGAAGATGAAAGCTGTTGTGGTTATTGACACATTGGGTACGATACCCAAAAATATTGGGGGCACTTAGAAAATCTATGCATTGACAAAATTTGTACCTTGTCAATTACAAAAGCCACAGCTCTTGGATCAGCACATGCTATGTCGATTCATTACAACATCCTAGGTTCTTGGGAAGAACTCAAATGTGTATTAAGGCCATCACCATCTAAAGAACTGGCAGCTGTGATTTCACATGATTGTGAATGATGACGATATTATTAATAATAATAATAATAATAATAATAATAATGATAATAATAATCTTGTATGCTACCCAATTCTCAACTCTAGGCGGCTAACAATTGAACAAAGAAATTATAATAAGATGGCAAGTGGGATGAAGCAGGGGTTCTTACTCTTCCTCACTAAAGGACCTGGTTGAAGAGTCTGGTTGTGTGTCCTGTTTTGGGTCTTCTCACAAAATTCAGGTTAGCTAATGGAGTAACAGGCCTTTGGCACAAGTCAGAAGGGCAGGTCTGTTATTCTTAAAAAATATTCAGGTATGAGGGTACCAGTATAGTTAGGGATGGTTCTTTATGTACTGCTTGAGATTCTCCAAAAGGAAACTACAGAACTGATTTCTGTAATGGGTTTTATAGTTAAGAAATAATCGTGTTTTTGTTGTTTCTGCTGAACAGAGACCTCTGCTGAACCTTCTCTTCAGGCCAAGCAGCTGAAGTTGAAGCGGGCTAGATTGGCTGATGATCTCAATGAGAAGATTGCCCAGAGACCAGGCCCCATGGAATTGGTGGAGAAAAATATTCTGCCTGTGGAATCAAGCTTGAAGGAAGCTCTCATTGGTAAGTCTGCTAAAAAAAGGGAAGCTTTGTAGTGGATAAAACAGTACCTTCTTTTTTTAATCTCTTCTTTAAAATAAGGAAAGCAGAATATATTTGCTGCTTTGTATAACCATAAAATATTTCTGCCCTCAACTTCCTATCCTGCATAAATGGTTTCAGTTAAAATTTTGTGAGCAAGTTTATAAGAAAAATTATAAGCAGAAATGCAATTGACATCTAAGACTGAAGAGATGCTGTACAATAGTTGTCTGCCTCTGGCATTGTATTCTATTTTCTTATAGTCATATTAAAGTGGAACCCTACTCTTAAGTGGCATTAAATACAGATTAATTTATGTAGGATAAGAAGACAAAAACAGAAATATTTTTATGGATACAATGTACGGATACAAAGCATAAGCACTGAAAGGAATCAGGCCTCACACAATATATAGAAAGTGTCTCTTACTCTTGAATTGTAATAGTCAGCTTAAAAGACTTGTGGATCACTGTCTGATTGGTCATTCTGAAAGAGTTTTAGAACTTGTAAACTTGTAAGATTGCACATATGTTCTTCTGGATTTATTTTACTTTTACAAAAAATAGGAGTATTTTTAATGTTTTACTTGTTTTTTTAAAAAGCTCCCCTGTTCTTTATTGTATTCAGAATTAGATTTTGGTTTTTGTTAACAAGTTCTGGTCAATTGGTGAATCTAATTGTATATGTACAATGCACAGTTGTCTAAAGTTCCTCTGCTTTTCCCCATCTTGGATTTTATAGTGGCCCAGAAATGTCCTGCTGGTTTTCAGTGATCCATAGATCCTCTGTTTTTAATTAATTAACTTTGCATCTGTTGTTTTTAGTAGGTCAAGTGGACTATCCTAAGTTAGCAGATAATTCCTCCTTTGATGAAGACAGCAGTGATGCCCTGTCTCCAGAACAACCGGCTAGCCATGAATCCCAGGCATCTGTGCCATCCCCAATGGATGCTCTGATGAGTGATTTAGTTCCTACTCCCACAGTGGCATCCCCTGCTCAGGTGAGGACACCTTAGGTGTTGCCTCTTGTTGCACTTTTTGATTGTAGGAGCTCAAGCAAGAAATGTATTTTCCTTGGAAGAAAAGATTGTTATGGGAATTTGTGCTTATTAGCAATAAAATACTTGATACCTGAATCTTTTTTTAGATTTCTTTTTACCCTATCTTTATTGGGTGGTGAACATAAATAATACTCCTTCCTCCTCCTGTTTTCCCCACAACTATAACCCTGTGAAGTGGGCTGAGAGAGAGTGACTGGCCCCAAGTCACCCAGCTGGCTTTTATACCTAAGGTGGACTAGAACTCCCAGTCTCTTAGTTTCTAGGCCAGCACATTCACCACTACACCAAACTGGATCTTGAAATAATATTAATAACATCCCTTATGCCGTTTTACTTTGTGGAAAAATAAATTCCTATTTTCTTAAAATTTGACCATGGAAAGAAGTAAACTCTCTTATTATATGGTGGCATTGATTCTGGAAATTGGCTTTGCTCACATATCTGTATTTTGCGGTACACAAATGTAACTGAGCAGTTGTCTGTCTTTTTACGATACTGTAGAAGTCACCTGCTAACTGCTTATTCTGTCTTCTGAAAATTCATCTGGACATATTCATATTCATCTACTTTGTAGATTGTGTGCCAGTTAAAAATCAGCACAGACTGCACTGAGACAACTTATGTGTCTGAACAGCCTCCAACCCCCTTGCCACAGCCGCCGCCTCCAGTGCCTCTGAATCTCACTAATGGGATTGCTCCTGCTGCTGCCAAACCTCTTCCAACTCTTATAAAGGTACCTTTTGTATTAGGGCTAAGTGCTACTATCAGCCAAAAAATCTATTATGTCACGATTAGGTGAGATACTGAGTAACATGACCTTGATCAAGATCATGAATCAACTATTCAATGCAATTTTCAATTCCTTATTAAGTAAATAGTTACTATAGTGATACATTAGGATCATTTCTTTGCTAGTAGATTAGTAGTTTTGACACAGTGTGGAAATATTTTCATTTAAGTACCCAGAGTTGATGACATGTGTTTCCCTTGCTGTATCATTCTTTTTTTCCCTGTCAGTTTGGAATATGATGAAGTATATGGAATATAAATGCCGTGGATTTATACGTGTATAAAGTATACAGAAATTTAATGAATATAAAATTGCAGTAGACCATTTAATTGGTCTAAGGATTGTTCATGCAGGTTCACTGCATTGATGTAATATAATTGTTATATATTAAAATTAGCATTATACTAGTTCAGGAGACTCCAAACTTGGCAACTCCCAGAAGTCCATAAACCTTCAAGCTGCTAAGTTTGGAAACTCCTGGTCTGGTTAAAAGCTAGCAGTGTTATACTTATTTAATAGGTATACATTTATTAGGGCAGATCAGTAGAATGAAGAAATTGTATGGAAAATATTAAACCAGCCAATCACTTCTCAAAATGTCACTCGTTATATTCATCATGCCACCGTCCTATCCTGAACCACCTATTTTTCTTTCAAACAGCAAAGCCAGCCAAAATCTTCAGGTGAGAAGTCCCAGCGTAGCAAAAAATCCAAGGAGCCGAAACCAAAAGTCAAGAAGCTGAAATATCACCAATATATTCCACCGGACCAAAAACAGGATAAAGGAGCTCCCCCCATGGATTCATCTTATGCCAAAATCCTGCAGCAACAACAGCTCTTTTTACAGCTCCAGATCCTTAATCAACAGCACCAACAGCACTACAACTATCAAACCATCCTCCCAGCTCCACCAAAGTAGGGGTTGTTTTTGTTTTTTTTTCTTCTTCTTCTTCTTCTTCTTCTTCTTCTTCTTCTTCTTCTTCTTCTTCTTCTTCTTCTTCTTCTTCTTCTTCTTCTTCTTCTTCTTCTTCTTCTTCTTCTTCTTCTTCTTCTTCTTCTTCTTCTTCTTCTTCTTCTTCTTCTTCTTCTTCTTCTTCTTCTTCTTCTTCTTCTTCTTCTTCTTCTTC